CCCGAGTCGAAATCAGGGCAGCAGCCATCGACCAGCTCGCTTGCGGAGTCGTAATCCATTCCATTGTCCACTAGGACGTCCTTGAACTTCTCCTTGATGTCCGAGACGACTGCATGAGCAAGGAGACTATCATCACGGTATTCATTCTCCTTAGGACAGTACCCTACTGCGGAGTACAGATCATYGGATAGRTTCATCCCAGTTGTTTTCTCAAGTTCCTTAACATGTGCCTCCATCCACGGCACCCAAACAGAGTTACAATCAATCAAGGTRCCATCCTTATCGAATATTACCAAGGACATCGGCAARTTGTTGCTAGTACTACCATAGCCATCGCCGGCCAAGCTAGAAAAGCTGGCAGACTTGGACGGTGAACCTGGGGGTTCAATKCTCTGTTAGTAACACAAACAGGRGGTAGGGGTCCCAGGCGAGGTTATGMAGATAGCTAGCCATTATTTTTAATACAGCATTAAATTATACCATKTGATAGTTAGAATTACTATTAATATAATTATACTTGAATAAGAGAGTATGGAATTAATAAAAATTACATGAACTTCCGTTACAGAGAATTGTAGCAAAAGCCTTATGGTAATTCAAGAATCATGCTATTATCACTATAAAGGAACTTTTTAATGTAAGAAAAAGTGTTTACTCTTCACTGTCAGGGCACTTACTATGGGGCTGCTTTCTGCCAACCCAAGTCGAGAAGCTGGCAGCTCCAAACTTAGGAGCAGATGGTTTCATCCAAGGTGTATTACCTGAATATTGTATTGTATTAGTACATGAGAAAGGGGGGAGGGGTAGAGTCTTTGAATCTACCAGTTGTATTATCCAAAAGAGAGTAACTATGGGTTGACCTGGACAGAATGAAATAGTTGAAAATACAGCGATATGCAGAAATTGTGATCTTTTTGACTCATATTTCAAATATATAAAAACATTTCAGAAATTATGGGATATCATTACTGATTTTTTTTAAGTTGCCTAGCACTTGTACTTTCTGAAAAAATATCAGCGATGATATCCCATAATTTCTGATATGTTTTATATATTTGAAATATGAGTCAAAAATATCACATTTTCTGTTCTGCTGTATAATCCAAGGTGTTTCCTCAGGAGATGGTTGTAAATCACAGATCCCGTGTTCATTGTGACCACTCCTWAGAAAATAACATTTCCTTCTCTCCCTACCCCTGTAAGTATCTCATTGTACCTCTGTTATTAGGTTGACTTGGTGAGTTCTCTATCCATATATCAAGATCAACAACTGGTTTCATGAGATTCTTTTCTGTATCAACAGACTTTTTGCTAAGCGGCATTTGAACATTGTGTCCCATGTTATTATTCCTATGAAGGATGTTGATGTCAGAACACAAATAAGCATACATGAATTGATACTTACCACAGAATAGAATTGTGTATAATTGTGGTGATTTACATAGTTATATTTAAGTGCACAAATTTGATTGATTAGAATTATAATACACCTAACTGAAAAAACATTGTCAGGCCACAAAAAGGTGATACTGTAGCTTAACATATTCTTTGTGTACTCAGTCATTTATCTTTATAATTCCTTAGCATGTTCCTTTGATGACAAGGCACGGCTACCTTTCAAGATGGCGCAGGTAACCGTGAAGGAGACTATTGTTTCATGCTTATGTGACTTGCACTCTACAGAATTACTCAATACATGTCACAGAAACGGGCATAAGAAAACTGTTATATGCATACTTCGGAAATTTGTTTTCCCATGGTACCTTTCAGTCTTAGAATTCATGATGTAGCCTCTTGGGAACCCAACTACATTTTTTCAATTAAGTAACCATTAAGTAACCAGTCATTTTCTAACGTACTTTTGGATGCATTATTTTTATCTATTCTATGATGTAAATATGAAAATATAACAAATTAATCATTTGCTATGCTTACTCATGAATTATCTTTTCAATACTCAATGATGAAATCTGTACACTACAATTGTACAATGTATATGTAATTATACTGTTTCAATATGACGGCCAACAAAATGTTATTTATAATTATCATCAAAGATTACTCTGTGCAGAATTGCTATTGCAGTCAATAATTCACAAGGAAAAAAAAACGGCTATAAAATTGATAGAATCACAAAGTATACTYTTATCATCCACCATTGTTATCTGACTTATATCATGCAAATTAACTTATGAGTTATCCCTTTTAYTTTTAATTACCACCTGGACTGCAATCATTATTATTAATTAATTAAATTATCACCATTATCATAATCATCATTCTGTGATTGTGCACTTAAAGATTTACTTAATAGTGAGATTAATTCAAAATKTCCACTCAGTCAACACAGGGCATTTGTCCCCATTGCCGGATTTCAAGCCGAGTGGGGACTGGGCAAAATCCCCTAATTGGATAATCACGAGATAAGACTTACATAGAAAGAAAGCCCACGTTGAGAAATGCAAAATTCCAAAATCTGGCGTCAATCAGTTCAATAGTGAACGAGTTACGGCCTTTCAAATATTMTAAAATTTCCAAAGAAATGTATGGGAAGCCGTGAATGTGTCCGGATTTTGACCATTTCCCGGACACATTCGCGAGATCACATACATTTCTTTGRAAATTTTAGAATGTTTGAAATGCTGTAACTCGTTCACTATTGAACTGATKTACATCRAATTTTGGAACTTTGCATTTCTCAACAWGGGCTTTCTTTCTATGYAAGTCTTATATCATGACTATCCAATWAGGGGATTTTGCCCAGTCCCCACTCGGCTTGAAATCCGGCAATATCAACASAGATCARTCAAGTCTCARTCAGAGTGGACCAATTGRACTAATCAACTATATAATTATTATTAAGATTGTGARGTGTCAGGAAGATCCCATAACTATGGCATCCGCACATACCAGAATTATCCTAAGAAAAGAAATTTAGAGAAACAAGCCAGTAAGAATTTGCATGGAAAAAGATTTATCAAATGCTTATGTGCAAATTTATTTATCTTTATTTTGAGGGTGTACATTAACATTTATTTATCAAAAACTTTACTTTAACTGGATTGATAACTGATACATGTAATTGCTAGTACTAAGTGGTAATATGCAGCAATGTTTTTTGCACGCAAACTTATTTTTTGGGATTACTATTGTAACTGTGGTCTACAAAATGTTAAGTGGCCTGTCAGTTTGGCCATTTCCAGCCCTATGTAACTTAAATCAAAACAAAATCACAGACATGTACTTAACATCTTATTATCTCAAATACTTTGACAACTATTGACCATTCCTGTGAGATTTGAAAGATAAAAGACTGGCAGCCATTTTGGAGGAATGAACAATAGATACTAATGAGAAATCCTTTGYTRAAGTTCCTCCAAGATGGCKGCTGTGACGTACAGTCAACTCTCACTATTACAGACACCCCCAGGACCGTAATTTCGTGTCCGTAGTAGCAAGAGTCCATAATAACGAGAGTTACTTTCAGTCATTCCTTTGCATTTTTCGCCAGGGATTCAGTATTTTACTGTCCCCAATATTGACGTAAATGAAAGCAAGAATAAACCTAATAACTGCACCATTGCGTGAATATCAAAACTTTTTTAATCAGCACTTGACATAAAGCTTTTATTAGAAGTAATAAATAAAAGGAAATACTAATAGACTTTACCCTTGTCCATTGTTGACCAGTACCAGYTCTCCATTTTGATTAAATCCAAACCCACTGCCGTCAGAAAAAAACTGCCACAGCACGGAGACCTTAATTTAAAGAGACCAACAACCATTAACTCAGCCAAACACTCAARAAATGAAAATTTTTCTCTTTATATTTATAGTGTGGCTACTGAAACTGGGGCCACCTAGAGAATATATAAAATCCCATAATTTAGATTGAAAATAAAGCATTCAGACTAAGGAAATCTCATTAAGCTTAAGTTCTTTGCAATATCACTGATCATCATTTTTTAGCTTTTTTAAAAAGCCTTGTTTGAATAAAAATTGTGATTATTTTACATTTTCTAGGTGGTCCCAGTTTCAGTAGCCGCACTGTAAATGATTTTTCAGAGTGCATTTTTATATGAGCAATTTGCATTTAAAAGGAATACATTAAAATATAATAGGCAAAATGCAATAAAATGATAAAAATACAAACAATAAGAAATACCTATGAAAGATGACTGGCTGCAAGACCATCTTGTAAAACCAACACTTTTTGGAAGTGAAGCGAGTCTTCTAGCAAAACCTACCAAAGCCATTTCTCAAGCCTAAAATAAAGTATAATTCATGAATTGACTTATTTGAATTGTAAGGAAACATCACTGCATGGGACATTTTTATACATATTTATATACACGTACTTTCAAGTGTCKGCATTGATTTCACACAATTTACAATATTATGAAAACATTTGGTACTTTCAAGTCCACCTGAGACACTCATTTTTGGAAAGATTTAAATTAAGAGTTTCAAGTCAGCCCTTTCTGAACCATATTGTTATGYAAAATTGGAATGTTATTGACTACAACTCATATTTTGGATGATCCATGGTTAAAAACAATGGATTTTCACGCAAATTTGTGCAAGCCRGTTTATAAGAGCATTATAGAACCACTTTGTCTTAAAAAATGCAGTTTTGTGGAGATAACTGCTGCTGAAATGTAGCTGAGACTCACAGCCAGGCAAGCTTGAATAACCCAATTGTTTTGTTGTTGTTTTTTTCCTTTCCTAACAGCATAAATAACCTGTTTAGATGTTATGTAATAATGACATTTCTACAGGGGATTCCATAACATAATGTTCATGATACGCAAGAAAATAGCCAATCGAGAATTCTGGAACTTGTAAACAAAAAATTGTTTTTTGACGTTCGAAAAGACCGTGACGCAGATCATGCGATGATGTCATTGAAATGTTTGTGTAATGTTCTGCTCTTTTCGTGCAAACATTGAGTTCTTGATTCGAATCGATTTTACTTCGATATCATACCTGAAGTACCTGCGACCTAAATTTAAGTTAAAATTAAGACCTGAAATAACAATGTTGACTTTATTTACGTTGAAAGTATCAAAATATTAATGTTGATAGCACAACCAGCGACGGAACGACACCAATTATATTTACAAGATCGACCAGAATTTGGCAACACCTTGCAAACAACTTGCCTAGTTTGCAAACAAAAATGCAAAATTCCTTACTCTTAAATGTTAAACTAAATTATCGAAAAATTAATGACATTTGGTGCATAATATATAAAATGTATGATTAGAATTCCTAGCTTTGTCACGTCAGTTTGTCGATCACTCATCGCAATCTTAAAATTTTACGCGCTCAACAGTAAAAGTACTGAGTNTTTTTCTTTCCTAACAGCATAAATTAACCTGTTTAGATGTTATGTAATAATGACATTTCTACAGGGGATTCCATAACATAATGTTCATGATACGCAAGAAAATAGCCAATCGAGAATTCTGGAACTTGTAAACAAAAAATTGTTTTTTGACGTTCGAAAAGACCGTGACGCAGATCATACGATGATGTCATTGAAATGTTTGTGTAATGTTCTGCTCTTTTCGTGCAAACATTGAGTTCTTGATTCGAATCGATTTTACTTGGATATCATACCTGAAGTACCTGCGACCTAAATTTAAGTTAAAATTACGACCTGAAATAACAATGTTGACTTTATTTATGTTGAAAGTATCAAAATATTAATGTTCATAGCACAACCAGCGACGGAACGACACCAATGTATATTTACAAGATCGACCAGAATTTGGCAACACCTTGCAAACAACTTGCCTAGTTTGCAAACTAAAATGTAAAATTTCCTTACTCTTAAATGTTAAACTAAATTATCGAAAAATTAATGACATTTAGTGTATAATATATAAAATGTATGATTAGAATTCCAAGCTTTGTCACGTCAGTTTGTCGATCACTCATCGCAATCTTAAAATTTTACGCGCTCAACAGTAAAAGTACTGAGTTCCGCGGATAAAGTTCATTTGAAAGCCAACGATCAACAGTTTCAAATAAGACTTGCTCAGTCTTAATAAAAGCGACTTATTATAAAATTTTAACATTAGTCTATTAGTCTGAAAATAGGTTTTTTTTATTCGCTTCACCGGGCGGAGATGCGCGGAAAACCTACTTTCTGAAAATATTTCGCTAATTTACTCAAATTTGAAATCAAAATCGCCTCCAAATTTCTTCAATTGTATGTACCTACCTTTGAAAATCTTAAAGATTATCTGGTAGCGAAAATGTTGACTTTATTCTTCAGTTATTCCACTTGCACTAGAGAGGAAAACACCATCGAACGTCGGCCATTAACGAATGACGTCCGGGGCTTTGACGCTGTATTTATATCCAGCCCACGTGATATGACGTAGAAAAACTGGTTTTTACCGGTTATTTCATGTGCTCWTTGAGGACTTTGATCCCTATTTTCCACAGGCAGACCGTCGTATCTAGGAAACAGAAATATCGATTGTGTATTTTCTTATTATTTTCCTACAGGGTTTGTATACATTTGTTTGTATTGTTTCATTTTTAAACWAAAATCACTAAAAGCCATAATGAATAACAATAGTACCCGACTTATCCATAGTAATCATACACTTTGATTTTTGGGGCCTCGCTCGGTCGGTGTTGGGGATTTTACTGGAATTTTCACCGGGGGCCGGTAGAGGCGCAACATTTGTAGACCAAACAATGCGATCTGTATAGAAGTTGCCACGTATTCAGTGGTTTCTTGGCTGTTATGGAGTTTCACAAGGTTTCACAAATTGTAAATCTTTTCATAAATACCCAAGTTTAACCAAACTTTCGATTTGTTTCATTTTGTTCGAGATGAGTTACGTAATCTTATAGTCACGAATCCATAAAGGTTCACGGTTCAGGTCATGTTATTTCAAGATTTGAACAGCAAGTAAAAAATTTATACAAGAGTTTGCGAAAGCCGTAGCCGGTAGGCTAARACACTAGATAATAATAAGAAAATCTACTAGTAAATTTTCAGTGCCGGATCCAGGATTTTTCAGAGGGTTCCACTTTGTTTTACCCTTGTCCCAGAGATTTTCTTTTCTCTTCTTTTATAGATGTTTTTTATCGTATTTTTGTCTTTGTTGGTAACTTTGTTTACGCATTTTCCTAAAACGAACTTTTTTACTGTGCTCTCTAACTGTAGCAGATGTAGCGTGATGTATTTCGCAAAAATTCATTGTACGATGCGTTTTCATTTTATTCCATTTATCATTTTCTTTTTTTATGCTTGAGGGGGGCTCCTAGGAACCCATGGAACCCCCCCTGGATCCGCCACTGATAATTTACTAAGTAGATTTTCTTGCGGCAGTCTCCGAATAGACACGTTAARTCGGCGATATGACACTCTTTTTTGCCGCAATTTCAAGGAACAATTCTTTGTTTGATGTTATAAAATGTGGCAAATAAAACAAAAATCCCGGGGGGGACTCCCTAATATCAAAGGGCGGGGGTCCTCGGCGTCCTTTTTAGGGTTTGAAATCAGTATAAAAATGCACAAAAAAATTCCAAGTGAAGTTGACCTTGAGAGAGGTGACGCATTCGTCAAAAGGTCAAAATACTGGCGGGAAAAGTAAAGTCTTCTATACTTCGCGGGCTACCTGTGGTGTCATTTTACAACAGGATCAAAGAACCGTACCCGTCACAGTACCTGCTATTGAATTTTCTTCATCTAAATGCATTGAAAAGCCACAACAAAATCCAAAAGGTTTGTTGATTATATACCAATGTAAATAACCTATTTAAYAACTGACAAAAGGAARCGACTGTTGAAATTTGATGCCATCAATTCYCCAACTGTTGATTGAACTTCAGTGACAAATAGACAAGCCAAGGCGCTAGAGAACGACGAGTCTACCTTTAAAATTTTATTTAAAGTAGTCTTTAAAGACTTCGAACCTAATTATTTTTACTCATGTCGATTAGAATGACTTCTCGTGGAGAAACAGACCCTGAAACWTCAGCTCTGATCGATCCAACTGCCTCAACATCAATCGAACACATGCCAGACGAARAACAGCAACCGAGGTWCAAAGTTTACGSTCATCGATGGTACATTCTTRTCCTCTTCACTCTATTTAATGCSACTGGAAATCTTCTATGGAACACGTGGCCGCCTGTACAAGAAACTTGYCAATTGGTTTTCGGCTGGAGTAAGACAAATGTYCTGGTAATAGGCGCTTTGCAAGCCGTTGGATCAATTCTCAGCGTCGTGCCATCGTCCTGGTTTATCGACACGAAAGGTCAGTCAAGTTGTTATAAARAATAATAGGGCGAAAAATGTTATTTTAATGCTTTTAATATCGAGAAGAACGATGAACTTCAAGCATTCTTATTGTTTTGATATTTTACAATTGAAAAAGGCAAATCCTAGCTAGTTTATTTTGTATTTTACATAAATTTCAGTTACAGCTGATCAGCTGAGTAATCCTTCCATAGCAGTCGTTCTGTTTGAGTTGTCCTGATACATGGACTTTCGAATTATTTGCCGTGTATATTATTTTCCAATGCTTGCTACACATGCTTATATGAAAACGATAAAAAGCTGTAATCATCCTAATAACAAAGAGTTCGCTATTATAAGCTTTTCAGTTGATGAAATAACTTCCTACTTCTTTCCTAGCTTCCGCGAACTTATTTGATTTGGATGYCTRGGAGATAATTTGTTTGTATAYAGTGCCAAGTGCTTTAAACTTYGATTTAAGTWYSAAA